CTAGATTCCACAGCAGAGCTCTGGTGGAGAGATCTTGGTGGGATGGAGAGGGCAGCAGCTGGGGCAGATAGCTCAGCCTTGGCTGACACCCGCAGAGCTGTAGGGCTGTGCTGCTGCTGGAGGTGAATTTTTTTGTGACATTGCTGCTGCTTCCCTGCTGCCTCCCTGTTCCTGTAAGGAGGACAACAGAACTGTAGGTTAAGGACTCCTCTTCCTTGCTATTGTCATGTCTGGCAAGTATCCAGYAAGAAACCACAAAGATATATTTGCCTACATAAAAAGTAGGGTGGATTTACTTCCATTTATATCTGCAGGTGTATTTCCTTATCTAAATAATAGATGGCTATGTCCTCAGCCAGTGTAACCTGGCAGAGTTCCTCCAAGGTCAGCAGAGCTGCACTGGCTTATATCCAGACAGGAGATGACCTGGTTTTTCCAAGAAATACCAATGTAGCAGGTAATATGTGGCTGCATGAGGGTATGGAAGCAAAGCGAGGTGGGGACCCTATTTACAGGGAGTTTGGGAACCCTGGGTTGCGGTCACTGCATCTTCTCTTGGGGCATTATCCCCAGGACAAGTCCTCTCAACCTCAAATGGCATCTGTGCAGCCAGTGGAGGGGATCTGGAATGGGGGACATCCATCCATTAAAAACCTGCTGCTAGAGCACCGCAGCTTCCCAGTTAACGGGGAGAGACTGAGGGCTCTTCAGCCTGCCCGCAGTGGTGCTGGCGCTGGCTCAGCTGCTGGATGCGCTGCCCTCTGCYCCTGCATTGCGGAGGGGAGAGGGGATGGAGCCTCTCCTGATATCATTGCCTTGGATAGGTGCGCGGGAATGGGGACTTGGTCTTTTGGTGTTCTGCTTTGTTCTCTAGCAAAGTGGGGTTAGTCCTTGAGGAGCAAGGGGACAGTGGTGCTGAGGACAAGCTGATCCCTGTCCCTGTCTTCCTACAGCCCCTCGATTTAGGTTCCTTGGGCACTGGCTGCCAGGGGCAGCTGGTTTCCTCCTGGCGTGTGCCAGGCTGATTGCTCTGCTGAGGGGGGTCCCAGTCCTGTGGGAGCAGCAGTACCCGGTGCGGACAGGGAAGTGCCCTCCACCTAGGACGGGATCGTTCTCATTCCCAGCTGAGCAAAGCAGACAAAAAAAAATGCCAGCTGATGCTGGTGAGCTGGCAGGCTTGGCTGCAAACTCCAGGGCATCAGCAGCTTCAGCTCTAAACCCTCATTTTCCCTGTGTGCACGAATGTCCAGCGTGTTGTGCTACGAGGCTCTCGACCTTGGCTGCAGGGCCGTCCTCCTGCTGAGCGGCTGCACACTGAGGGTCCCCGCGTCTCAACAACATGCTTGACAAAGGCAGAGCTCGGGCTTGCGTGCGCTGCCTCTGCAGCTGCTGTGATGCCACAAGGGCTGATTTACCTTCTCCGAGCGGAGGGTCTTGCTCGCCTGGCCCCAGACCTCCCCGATGAGGGGCTGRTGCAGAAGCAGAACTGGCTCTGCTCTCTTTGGGCACCAGCTGATGCTCTGTGCATGGCTGTCCAGGTCCCAGGCGAGCGTGTTAGCTAATGTGTGCTGACAGGTAGAAGGATCAGGGATCCCTCATCTAAGGAGCTTCTCGGCATCGTTAATTTGCTAATAGCACTCCTGGGAAGAAGGCAGTGAAGATGGGGGCTCCTAAAGGGGGCTTCCCACCAGCCTCAGCCAAGCGGCACCCCTTCATGTCCCAACGGGAGAGCCAGGGTGAGCCGGCCACACGCCAGGAATTGCTGGGTCAAGCTGAGCTGGGAAGGTGAGGCAGCAGGGAGCCCTGCCGCTGAGCACTGCTCACGCTCAGCCCCGCGCACGTGCCCGGGGCGCCGGGCGCCGCGGGAGGAGGGTGGCCCGGAGCAGCGCTGCCTCGGCGGGCCCTGGTGCCGGGCACTTGCAGCCCGGCGCTGCGGGAGCCGGCAGGGAAGGGCGGCCGCTGCCCGCTGYGCGAGCCGCAGCCTGCGCCCCCCTCACGTGCCGCCGCCTCCTCTGCAGGAGAAGAGCAAGGTGCTCTCGGGGGGCAGCGGGGAGGAAACGACAGAACAAGTGAAGCACAAGAGGCTCACATGGAAAGGTCATGGTGAGTTTTAAGTAGAAATGTCATTGTTATTCTGTCAAAAAAATAACAGAGCCAAAGCACAYGTGGCAGAGAGGTGGCTGCTCCCCCAGAGGAGGGCAAACTTGGCAGAGTCCACAGCCTGCTGCCATTGGGTTTGCCCTCYAGCTTGGGCAAGGGGTCATTCCCCTCCAGCCGTTGCTTCCCTGGCTTTTCATTCTCTCTTTCTCTCCTTTTTTTAATTTTTTTTTTTCCCCAATGCCTCTTCAGCGCCCTCTTTCCAGCACTGTCCTCTGCACCAGATTCCCAGGGGGCTCAGGTCGGTCTAGAGGCAGTGAACTGTGCTTGTATTGCTGGCAGACTGCAAGCTCTCCATGGAGGAGGCACGGGACCAGACAGACACCGTGTCTGGCCATGAGGGTCCTACTTTCCCGCTGTTTAAATCACAGCCATGTCAGACATCACCACTGGCTTCCATGTGTGTTGCCATGTCCCTTAGTTCATGTGCTGACTACGGCCTCAGAGAGGAGTGAGAGCTGATGGAGATTGKTTCTAGTGGACCATGACCTGCTAGTGGGTGCCTTGCCGTGCCCTATCCAGAGCACRGAGCGTTGCTGAGAGTTCAGGGCTGTTGTTTAGCTCAGCAGATTTAAAGATCTGTAGCTTCTGAGCTGTCTACTTCTTGCTTCCCACAGGAGGTCATGGCTTTGCTGCCTGGTGGTCTATGAGCTGAAGGCCCCGTGGGTTCTGTGTTGCRCCAAGAGTGAGCAATGAAGCTTGAGCAATGAACACTTGGCCCTTAGCAGGGACAGGGAAGTGCAGTGGCAACAGAGCCATTAGGAGCCCCATCTCGCAGGGATGGAGGCTCCTCCCTTTACCTTTCCCATGTTGGCTGAAGGCAACTCAAGCCCAAGCCCAGGCCTACCCTTCTCCCCATGGTTGTCCTACCACCTCCTGGCAAGGTGGGGACAAGAGGTGTGTGGATCAGCCACCCAGCAAGGCTGTGTGGCCGGCACCAGCACGAGAAGCGTGCCTGTGATTTTTTCCGAGCCTTAATTGCAGAATTTCCATATCATCAATTCCCTGCAAGTCAGCACTTGACAGGGAAGGCTGTGGCTACTGTCCTTGCTGCTGCCATCAGAGAGTACCCACTCTGTCCAGGGGACAGCTCTCAAAACGTTATTTTTATCTCTGTCTCGTAAAGCCTGTTCTGTATAAATATATTTTAATTAATTAATAAATGGGATGTAATGAGTTCTGGCAGGGTGACATTTGAGCATAAAGCGAGGCTTAAACAGATCCTGACATGTGTTAGCTGGGAAAACACAACATTCCTGCATGTGCAGCACACACACACACACACACGCACACCCAGCTTTACTTGTTGGGAGTGTTACGTAACGTGGAGGGAGACGGGCTGGGGGGAGCTGGGCATGGAGGTCCCTTCTGGAAGGGCCATGAGCCAAGTGCAGCGGGCGTCCAAGTGACTCCATCCACGTAGCCAGTCCCCTGGGTTGCCTCCGCCTTGAGACCAAAGGGAGGCTTGAATAGATTCTTTCTTTCACAGAAATTGATGAAGTGTCCCCAGAGACTGACTTGCTGGAAACGTGCTAGCTAAGCCAACCTGTAGCATCAGCTCTGGGAGGACTGTGGGGAGCCTCCGGGTCTGCTGTAGGTTGGTGCAGGGCAAAATTGGTTCTGGCATGAGGGTTTTGGCAGTTAATGATCAGCTACCAACTCAAGCATAGTCCAAAATAGACAAAAACCAAAGCCTTCTTGTGCCATATTTGCCTCGGAAAACATGGTGTATGGTACTCTTTGTTTCTCTAAGATTGTTTGTAAAATAATACACGTAAAATAATATTTTTTACCCCTTGACAAACCAGTCCTGGGGTGTCCAGAACAGCAGCGAGGACAGTAGTGAGTCYACCTTTCTGCCTGAGATAGCTCCTAGATTAACCCAATGACATTTCTCAAGGTGACTCGTGGTGGTGCAGAGGTCTGGTGCTGTTGGGTGGCTTCCAGGCTGTTGGTGGCTGATTTTGGTGGCTCTGATCCCTGCTCTCCTGGAAATGGGACCAGGCAGGGATGTGCTGGGGTGACCTCAGCTTTTGTGCCATGGGTGCCTTCCTGCAGGGCGGAGGAGATGGAGATGGCACCACAGGTGTAAGCACCACTCAAGGACCTCACAGGAAGGGTGTCCAAAAACTGGAACCCAGTGAGGCATGCTGCAGTAGCCAAAATCTTCACTGATTTCCTTTCTGTGCCTTTGTGCTTCTCGAGAGCCACTTTTTGTGCACAAAAGCAGTAGCAGACCTGCTCCTGTGTAGCTGAGACCTTGGTTCTCATCTGCATTTGGACTCTGTTTCCCAAAGCCCATCATTACTGGCGCTTTGGAGTCCCAGTACAGCCCACTRAAAGAAAGAATAGGGTMTAAGGGTGAATGCTTTCCTATCRCAGATCTTAAATATGAATCTTTTCYGTTTCTGAGATTGGTAATGTCAAAAGTGGCACCTACGTAGTTTAGACCATGTGTGTGACAATACATATAATATGGAGGACTCAATTTATAGCTTGGAAGTTGTTCCCAAAGACCTGCAAGGCTGATGGTTTTCCTCTATTCTACAAACAGCTTTGTCTGCAAACACGTGTCAGGCCCCCCGCTCCCTGCAGATACCCTTGCTTACTGCCTGGGACTCCAGCTCAACTTTCCTTCCTCTTCCCTCCCTTCCTGGGCTGCCGGGAGGCCCCGAGGCATCGCTGAGCCCTGTGCTCAGCAGTGACCATCCCGTCTTATCTCAGCATCACGCTGGCTCCTGACCTGTCTTCAGGACATGTGGGGACAGAGAGGGAAGAAGGGACGTGGCCAGGATGCTGACCTTCTGTGATTACATACATGTGTTTTTGTTGTTGTTTTCAAGGTTTGGTCAAACAGGAGGGATGTGCTGTTTGCTGTTCAGCTTTTGTTATGAACTTTGGCTGCTGAAGAGATCTCGTGGAAGCAGATTTCCAGTGAGTAGTGTACGAAGCAGATTTGAATCTGGTCCCTACATGGGAGGGGTGGGTGGGCAGACTGGGGATTTGAGCTTTTCTCTCCATGAAATGGGTCAATATTCCTCGCCTGTCCCTTGAGTAGCTAATAATATAGCAGTTGGCTCTTCTTCGCCCAGCAGGGTTATTGTCATCCTTGCTAAAGTTTGACATTTTACACTTTAACTAAGCACAGCCTTAGGCAAGAAGCTGCTAAGAGACAGATTTCCTTATTAAAAGAAGATGTCACCAAAAGAGCAAGTCAACAAATATGCCACTGCCCAGAAACAGCCATGAGACTGGGAGAGAACAGGGAGCAGGAGAGAAGGGAGGGCAGAGCTGCAAGGAGCCGGCATGGGTGGTGGGCCACCCTGGAGAGCATTTTTGGGGACACAAGGCCCTGCTGGGCCCCCCTAGCCAGAGCTGCCAGGGTCTTGGCACTGCTCCGTGCTCCTGCAGGAGATCAGGTGCTGGAGCCTGACCTGAGGGCCGTGCATCGTCCTGGGGTTGTTTGCAGCGTGTCCTGGGCTCACCCTCCTCTTMCTCACATACCCGTCCCGGAGCAGGTGCCGTATGTACAGCACCTAGTACAGGCTGGCTGTATGTGGCTGTATATGTATATGGCTTTGGGAGCCCATGTAACATGAACTGTCCTGGCTGCCATCCGTTCATTACTGGGTAAGAGCATGGGCGTGTGTGTGCGCAGGWTTTTTTAAGTCTGAAAACATTTTCAAGGATTTTTCTCAGTATTGCAATCGCAAAATGCCAGACGCACAGAAAGCTGCAGGCAACTGCTCTTTTTTTTTTCCTTTTCTCTTTTTTTTTTGAATCTGAGCATGCCTGATAACATGCCTTTTCCCTGCGCTGCTGACAATGGTTTTTTTGCTCCCCTTTATGGAGTTTAAATATAATACACTTAATAGCAGTTAGTGATGTCAGTGCTCTTTGGTATAGCAAATCTCTGGCGTGAGATAATCTTAGTTAATGATCAGCATAAAACAGATAGAGGTCAGTATTTTAGCGGCGCTATAAATTCTGCCTTTACTGTGACAGAGCTGCAAGGCGGCGATCCCATTAACCTCTCCCGTGTATTGATAGGGGTCCRTGGCCCGCCCCGCCGCCCTCCTCCGTGCGCTCGCGTCCGCTGCTCGCGACGCTCGCCCGGGCCTCTCTCCTCCCCGGGGAGCGCTCGGCTCCGCCGGAGCCGCTGTGCCCGTCTCCAGCCGCAGCCTAACGCAGGGTGACACCGTGTAATGGAAGAGCAGCACTCGCCGGGCCCGGGAGGAGACGGAAAGCTCCTGGCAGCTTTTGCCCCCGCAGCTCCAGCGTTGGAAAGGGCAGCGTGATGCACATGGGAGCCAGGCACAGGGGGGTAGCCCTGCRTGTGCCAAAACCGCCGGGACGGCTCTGGGTCGCGGGCCAGCGCTTTAGTCCCCGTGGATTTCAGCGAGGCGACGCTGATTCGCACCAGCCGCGAATCAGCCCCGATAGAGCGGCTGCTTATGATCTAATAATGCAGAGATATGGGCAATGTGGAGGGRAAAAAAAATAAGATAAAAAAGTCAATGAAGCATTGTGGTTAAGAATCAAATTGCATAAAAGTCAGGAAATAAAACACTTAAAGCTCCTACAGGAACATTAAGTCGGTGAAGGCTCTACTTACGTAGCCTCAGCCCTGACTGTTTTCCCCYGATGCCTGTGCTGCTCCTTTCACATCTGTGTGATGGGCAGTGCCTGGGGGAAGCTCTGCTGCTTCCTCCACTGGTGTAAGGCTGGAGCAGGTCTGGGTGTTCTCGGCAGAGCCGGGAGCAAAGGCTGCCCTCCAGCCCTGCTCTGGCAGCACTGGCTTTCACACTACTTGTCAGGTCCCCGCTGCGTGTGCTTCACGTGTCAGAGCAGTTGTGTTGCAGCCATGATAATTTAAGGATAGAGAAGACTTGTCAGTAGTGGTTTTACCCACACACCTTATTTCTGTTTACAAGGCAGCTTTTCCTACTCGGAAGCTGTCTTGAGCTCACGGTTGTATTTTGCAGGCTGTTTGTGAGTGTGGCGTGTGTGGCTTCCCTGCAGGGCAGAGCAAAGGGTGCTTGGTTTTACAAACCTTCTTGCCAAATCTCAACTTTTGGGGGAAGTCTTCTTGGGGTGGTTATTGTCCTCTGCTGTGTTTTAACCCCTGAATGCCTGTTGCACCCTCAAATGCACCTTCAGTAGCATGGTGGTTTTGGAACTGCAGAGAAGGGATCATGAGAGAACTTCTGAGCAGGAGAGTTTGGAAAGAGATGGGAATGTCAAAGCCTCAGAGAGCAAACTGTTTTCTGGTTTATGAAGGTCAATAAAAAGCATCCCTGGGAGACAGGTGACCTAGTGGTGTGACTGTACCGACAATATCTCATCTTTCCTAGACTTTTCCCAGTTGTTGAGGAGCAGGGTCCTTGACAGTGCTAGCAACAGACAGGAACTCCTGCTTAGCCCACCCACCCCCCAAAACTTCTGGCACAAGGTTTGCCATGCAGGCTGCCAGGCTCAAAATAACGTGGGGTGAGAGGGGTTTATGCCCAGTAATTTTTGAGGATGAGAAGAAGAAGAAAAAATCAAGCAGAAACACGCAAAAAATGGCTAGCACTTCTGTGGGAAACTGTGGTAACTGCAGGGCTTGGAGGTCTGACGTTTCACAGAGCTCCTGGCCTCAAGGAATGTCCTTTCCCTAAAGATGCTCCAAGCTGTGCTCCAAACATGTGCCTTCCACAGAGCATTTTGGCAGCTGGCTTTAGAAAGGAGGGCGTTTTGGAGCAGTCTGCGCCCCTTGAACAGGCTCAGGCTGCCTGGCAGCACGGCGGGACCCCGGCAATCAGAAAGCTTCGAGATCTTTGGCTGTCAGGATGGAAATACAGGAAATCACCGGGGATGGTGGTGGACAGTGCACTGAGAGGCCCACGGTCTCTGTGCCCCTTCCCCACTGCCCTGGATTAGTTGCCTCGGTTGTAGCGTAGCACTAACGCGACCAGTGTTAGAAATCAGTGTGTTGCTGAAACCTTTTTTCCTGTCTTTCAACTGAATGGATAGAGAGGGCAGAAATAAAGGCTCCCTCGGGTTCCGGTTCATATGTCGCCATGAAGTGCGTTAATGAATCACTGCTCCCAGAGCACATTTGGAGCTTGTTACCAGCAGATAATCCTGCACTGTGACCCAATTGCTACTTGACTGCCCAGGAGCAAACCTTCTTTCTCCATGGCCCCTAGGAGCAAGGATGGGCTGCGCTTGGAGGTTGCCTTCCTCTTTGGAGCTGAAATGGATGCATTTGTTAATGAGGGTTTTTTTMACGGCTAGTGCTTAGAATTTTGGTTTTTTTTTAATGGAGAAAGCTTGGGAAAATAGCTCCAATTCCCCTTGCTACCACCTATTGCTGTCAATGGAAGCAGTCATTAGAGAAATGCAGGAAATTAGCTTAAACTCTTCCTACAGGGCAAGAGAAGTGGGAGGAAGGCTAGGATACCAGATGGGGTGATGATGCAGGGACAGAGCCTGAATTTTCTCCCAGCCTGTAAGTGCTTGTTAGGGAGGAGTGAGAAGTGGTCAGTGCTGAGATTTCGTGCTCTTCACCACGCAGCAGACACCCTGCTTTCCTTATGGTCTGCTGGATAGACCTTCTGCTTCCACAGCCCTTCTTGCAGTGTTGGCAATTAGTGRCACACCATGAAATGCTGGCGAATGTCTTCTGCGTTGCATGACTGTAATATGACTTTGCTGGATGTCTCGTGGCTTTAATCTCCTACAGAGAAGTTCCTCAGTGCTTTCTGTTGCTTCAGGCCTCCAGGGTGCATGGATATGTTGGCAAAGAGCAAAGGAACTGGAGTCTGGGAAGGCAGAAGGGGCTCCTGGAAGGGAGTGTGGAAGCAGCAATGAGCGATTGCAGCCCAGTGCTACCTGTCTCACCTGAGTAGTATTGAGGATATCTTGGTTGGGAAGCAAACCTGTTGTAAAAAAAAAAAAAAAAAGGAAAGAGCATGACCTATAACTAGCAGAGTGAATGCATGGAAGGGGAGAGAAAAAGGCCCTTGTCCCTTGGGAACAGCCCAGGGATGTTCTGCCCATGCTTTCTGGGTCTGAATCTGTTATCCACCCAAGTCTGTTATCTGTTATTCTTCTCCTGGGCTATCAYTGGGCATGTTCTTGAGGGCCAACGTACTGCCCATCTGCTCGCAGAGGAGCTAGGCAAGGAGCTGCRGTCACACTGAGAGGTTGGTGGACATCGGCCCAGACAACTTGCTTTGCTTCCAGCAAGCCACTAGATAACCCCGGGCACCCTTTAGTGCTTTTCCTCTTCCTCCCTTTAAAAAAATAGCCACAGAAACTGTAGAAGGAAGGATAAGGGCAAGGGGGGGAAGAAAGACAAAGCGTTTCTTATCCTCTACTTAGATGTTTTTATCTAGTTCCTTGTTTTGTGGGAAGGGGTGATGTTACCTGCAACCCTAACAGGGCGGTCTGGGTTCATCTCCCACATMTAAGTCTTGTTCTTGGACCTAGAGCCAGGCACTTTGGCTCTTTTTCTCCTGGTTCTCCATCTGAGAAGGGGCTGAGGATGCTTTATTTCACGTGCTCCTTGTCCTGCCTGCCTGAGCTGGGCAGCGACAGAACATGGGCTGGGGCCTCCGAGCTGCGGTGGGTCCGTCTGGGCACAGAGACTCCTCAGGCCCCATGACCTTTTCCTGGCAGCTCTGGACAGGCAGGGACAGGGAACAGGGAAGGAAAGCACTCCTGCAGCCTCCGGGGAGGCAGTTTGTCTAACGAGACTTTCACTCCACTAAAAACAGAGGAACCCTGAGGAGATGACGGTGTGTAATGTCAAGATTCAGTAGCTGGCAGATAAATTTATGCTTTTTTTCCTAAGAAGTGTCTTTATGAGCATTTTCTCTATGTGTAGCAGCTCAATGGAAATGACTGTGCAGGTCGGAAAGTCATTAGGAGTCAGCAAATACAAGAGC